TGAGAGTAGCTAATTAGGTTGTGGCTCATCCTCCTCCCTAAATCTCAGTTGGGAATCTGAGTTTGTGGTTCGAACCACTACGAAGCTACAGAAGCACAAGGAGGTATGGCCACACTTCTGATTATCGAAAATCGACCCTAAGAGCGAGAATCTGCCACCTAACGAAATGTCTCAAAGAGTTTTGACAAGTTGGAGTGGCTGGGCTCTTTGCTTCTTTACTTGTAAATCCAAATTTTTTTATGAAAAATTGTAATTATCAGGAACAATTCAATGAACCAACGTGCTGATTTTAGGAAATGGGGTTGTTTCTTACGTTATGAGATTTGATGTGAGTGTGATGTTAATCAGCCATTAAAATACCACAAATTTTGGTCGTAATGTTTGTTGTAAAGCTTCTGCAAGATATATCTGAGTTTAATTCGAACTGGGTTAGAAAGTGGCTGATAAACTCATTAGGCACTGAAAGATTCTCAGAGGAGATCATGTGGGGGAAGGCAGGAATGTATATCATTTTCTTTGTGCCTCTTTCTTTATCTATTTATTTATTAACTAACAGTTTTCTAATCTCATTTGCAGGTGATGATAACAAGGCAAAGACAAGGGCGAGGCAGGTGTCATCAAGCGAGTCATTCGCTCTCATAATTGTGTCATCGTGGAAGGCAAAAATCTGGTATTATTCTAGCCCTATTATTTGTAATTTGGTATACTGTTCTGGTTTATCTGATTTTGTCTTTGCAGTTCTTTGAGCAACTTTATATATTGTTTCATTCAGTATTATAGCATTTTATTTCTTGAGAAAACCTGTTACAAATTCGTGTTAGAATCTGGTATTTGTGTATAAATTTTATGATAGTTTTACTGAGCTCAGAGGAAAAAGAAAATGAAAATGATGATGGTAAGAATCCAAAGATCACAGAGCACAAGTCATGCTCATCGTGCATTTCATTCCATTCACTCACAACGGTACAAAATAGTAATTGGGCTAGAGAGAGGAGTGAGCCTATGAGCTCATCCAAAGGTCTACAAGCAATGCCCTATAAGACTTTGTCACTTGCTCACATATGAACCTAAGAGCTAATATACCAATCTTAACCCTTAATCTCTAACAAACTTTTGCCACATCAACAACATTCTAATTAAAGATTAATTAATCAGTTTAGACCTTAACAACCAAAACTTCCTTCTAAGGTCTTAACTGAATCACTCCTAGCTTCCTCAAGCAACAAAACCTGTCCTTTCCCAAAGGCTTGGTGAAAATGTCTGAGTCAAATGGCCTGTGTTGTGGCCTCAGATGCACTCATGTATTCAGCCTCAGCTGTGGAAGTGCCACACTTTGTTGTTTTACAAATGCCCAAGAGAATGCTCCATTGCCAAAAGTGAAAGTATAACCAGAAGTGGATTTCATATCATCTTCATCCCCACTCTAGTCACTATCATGAAAACCAATGAGCAATGCAAAATCCCTTTCTTATAGTTAATTCCATAGTCAATGGTACCCTGAATATACCTCATAACCATTTTTGCCAATGGTACCCTGAATATACCTCATAACCGTTTTTGCAGTGCCAAGACGCTTGGTTGTAAGACAATGCATGAACTTTGCAAGCATACAAGATGAGAACATAACATCAGGTCTTGTTGCAATCAACTACAAGAGGTTATTGCCAGCAATTTTGCTATACAATTCACCATCAGCTGCTTCATTAACATCATCATTTCTTAGCTTATCAGTGGGAGCTAAAGGAATTGAACTGGCTTACAGGTCTTCAGTCCAAATTTCTCAAGCAAACTCAATGCATATTTCTTATGATGAATAGTCGTGCTATACCATTTGCCTTACATTAAGCAAGTTTTCATCTAACCCAGGCACTATCATAACCTCAAGAATGTATCTAGTACCCATCTTGGTTTCCATAATCAAGGTTCCCTTGCCAATCAACTCCAAAAGATCACCACTGCCCATCTTCACTTTGCATTTCACACTCATATCAATGTTAATTAGGAGTGATTCATTGTTAGTCATGCGGTTGCTGCAACCACTATCTAGATACCAGATCTCATAGTTCACTTGAACATAAGCTTTATGGCATGCATAAAACATCATTGCAGTGTCCTACACCTGATTGGCATAACTTGCCATTTGATCCGTCTTTGGCTTATGACAATTTCTCATCAAGTGCCCAAACTTACTACAATTATTCCCTTGAATCAGCACTCCACATGAGTTGCTTCTCTAGATAGGCAGCCTATTCACCATCATCTTCTTCATCATTAATAGACGAAGATCCATCCTCCTTCTTCTTCAATTTATCCTTCTGTTTGGGCCCAAAATAACACTTTGGGCCGAGCCTAGAATTGTTCTCGGTCCAATAAGGAATATCGGGAATCTTCTTTGCCATGGGCAAAGTCTAGTAGAGTTCTGCTGAATCCTATTAAAAGATGGTTTTTCTTGGATAATGGTGAAGTGGTCAAATCCTAGTGCAATAAGGATTCTTTAGAAGTTAAGGAAGTTTCGAATCAGAAAAGATGCCGAGAATCAAGGGATTGAATATGAGTGATTAAAGAGCTTGGTTCAGAATCCTATGGGAGTTAGGATTAGTCGAAACCTAATCAGATTGGGTTGAGGAATTCTAGTCTGAATGAAATTACCTCGACCATTAGGGAAATTACTACTATAAATAAAGAGAGGAGTACATCATTCAAAGCCTCTCCAATTCAACACACAACTGCCCTGTGCAAACCTCTCAAACATCTTGAGATTTTTATATTCTTTTTACCTGCCAACACATCTTCAGTTTGGATAAAAAACACTGTGGAGGAAACCGGCAACATCTTCAGTTTGGATAAACAGCACTAAAGTCGTAGAATCAGCTAACCGATGAGCACTTTCAGTTTGGATAAACAACACTGCTTCAAGACCGACTATTTATCTATCCAAGTCTCGGTCAACGAGGATTTCCGAATCCTTATTGGAAGAGGTCATCTCATCAGCATTTTCGGCGAAGTGAGGAATTACCAAGCTCGGCTCATTGAGAGTCGAGTTTATTTTATGATTGGATATTCGCAAGTACATTTTAGAGTTCAGCATTCAGACGGTCGAACCACATTTACAATCAAAACACTTATCTCTTTTTGAATATTTGTGTCCGTACAGTCTAGTACCAGTTCGACATACTTATATTTGCACAAATATAATTATTGAGACCAAACCCGATGCCAATGATTTGTGAACTTCAAAGAAGCTAGCAGCCTTGTCTTCAGGCTCTAGAACCCAAAGGTTGAGACGAGTTCCTTCCTTGGCCCCAGTCGCACGACACAGGAATCAGCAGTGCGCCCAACGCCACATCAACATACATTTTACTCCCAGCCGAACTCGGTGGTAACCGAATAACGTAGTTAGCTTATTAATTACTCAGTCTGCGCGCCACGTAGGCTAGATAGTTTTTAGGGTCAACACCTTATCTTTCTTCTTCTATGATTCTGGGATCACCATCCCTTTGTTGACAAGTTTCCAAGTCCCATATGATTTAAAAATTGTGACCATCCTGGCTTTCCAAAACTTGAACTCAATACCATCAAATACAGGAGCTCACAGTTCACCACCTCAAGATCCAGCCATTTTTTAACTGAATCGATTCAAATTCGAGAGTATTCTCGTTGGATTTCTCTCAATTTTTCACAGAAATCAACGCCCAGTTGATACTTGAACTAAGCTCTCGATACCATATTAGAATATGGTACTTGTGTATGAATTTTATGATAGTTTTACTGAGCTCAGAGGAAGAAGAAAATTAAAATGATGATGGTAGGAATCCAAAGATCACAGAGCACAAGTCATGCTCATCATGCATTTCATTTCATTCATTCGCAACAGTACAAAATAGCCGTTAGGCTAGAGAGATAAGAAGTGAGCCTATGAGCTCATCCAACGGTGTACGAGCAATGCCCTATAAAACTTTGCCACTTGCTCACATCTGAGCCAAAGAGCTAATAGACCAATCTCAACCCTTAATCTCTAACAAACTTTTGCCACATCAACACTACTCAAATTAAAGATTAATTAATCAGTTTAGACCTTAACAATTTGGTCACAACAATCCGATTGAGATTGTAGATGGTCTCTATGATTATCACGACAAAAATGTTCGATCATGTTTTTCGGCTTATGCTCTTTTCTCACGCTTACCATTGAGCAAGTCGAATTGGCCAGTGTAATGTGGTTGATAGTCTGCAGAGAGAATTTTTTTTTTTTTATTTGGAACAAATGATATTATCTACAAGGAGAAGGAGGTGAGCTAAGTCTCACAATAAGCTAGCTAGACAGTATGCTTATTTACTATAAATATCTTTTACAGTTGGAAGCTCTTCTAATGAATTATGTGGATTTTGGTTGCTGCTGAACAATTACTCTGTTATTGCAAGTAAAGAAACATATCAAGCATGGCAAGATCATGAAGGTGGGATTTTCAATGTCGAAGCGTCTCTCCATGCCTCAAATGTGCAAGTTGTTGATCAAGTAATAGGGTACGGATGCACTCGTCTTAAATTTCGTCCCTCTTTTGACAATTCACAGCTTCGTCACTGATTGGAATAATGATAAAACAAGTTAAATACTAGATTATATATGAGTCATAGGCTTGTTTGTTGATTGGTGCGTTTAGGCTTCATATATATATTTGTAGGAGTCTTGACCTAACTTCATTGGAAATCTTACTTAGAATATATATGTTAGAGTGAAATTCTGCTGACCTTTTTTGTCCTAATGTGGAATATGTGGAATATATTTGTAGGAGTCTTGATTATCGTAGTTACAATTTTCTATTTGTGATACATCACATGAATCACAAATGTAGTTTGAAAAATTGGTCTACATAACTATATCATGCATGACAGACTCTCCATTGATCCCTTCATCACCTGCAGGCTTAAAACTAATAGAACTAAATCGAGCAAGACAGAGGAAGGAAAAAAAAAGCGAATGGGTATAAATTCCAGATACATAAGGGCAAAATATAAATATGTATAATTAATGAACAAAAAATACAGTACAGATGAGTTTGAATTAGCACCAACTACCACCGCTACATGGCTTCCAAACTTGTTCCTAATCGTCATACAAAAACAACACCAACACCAACGTTGATTGCTACTTCCGCTGGGTTTCGCATTCCTGCTTCAATACTTTAGTCCGTTTCGACAATTCATCCACCGTTATATCACATGTCGCATGAAATTTCATGCTTCTACTTTTCAACGTCCCAATTCTCAACCTCGCCGGAATGTTCATGTTGAGGGACAAACTAACCTGCACTTTCTTCGTGCTGCTGCTGCTCTCACTAACTCCCAAGCTTTTCTTAATCTCTTTAGGCAAAATAACGTTTGCACCGTGGACGACGATAGTAACCTCTTTTGATTTGCCCGTCCCTTGCGTAAGAGATGGGTATTTTCCGTTAGCTATTGTTTTTTGCTTGAAATGAAGGCTAGCACCACCACCATTGTACACAATTGCCACTCTCGAATTCGGATTTCGAACCCTCAACGTCAAGCTGTAGTCCGGCCGTCCATTACTCTTGCTATGTACAACAACACGTTCTACGCTGAATTTGGGATTTTCGGACTTGGCGAACATAACAGAAAAAATCGTTACGAGCATGACAACAAGGAGGACAATGAAAGCCAAGATGCCAATGCAGTAAAGGTTGCAACATAACGGCCTTTTTCTTTTGCGGGACGGGTCCTGGTGGCGTTCGACAATGTAGGCGTTTTCGGGCGGGGGCACGTGGTAGATTTGGTCCTTGGGGACTTGGACAACGTAGGTACCTGAGCGGAAGGTGGCGACGGAAGGATTTTGGGGTTGGGAGATGACCAACTGTCGGGACGTCGACGGGGGCAGTGTTGGAGGTGGGAATTGGGGGTATTCGGGAATTGCAAGAAGGACAGAAGGAGGAGAGTGGTTTTTGTTACCGAGGAGATCAGGTGGGGACCGCTCCGCCATGGGAAGATGGGGAGCGGTGGGGAGGAGATGGAAGGTGGTGTGTAAGCGCAATTGGAGAAGAAGGGGAAGTGGATTGCATGGGACAAATGGGAGGCTGTAAGGTGGGGGAGAAGCAAACTAAGGAGGGGTTTGCAATTTGCATGCAAAAGTGAGGCTTTTGTCCCATTTAAGGCTATTATTAGAGGTTGTTTACTAGGTCAATTTACATCTCCTAATACTCGCTTAAGGATTATTCATGACGATTTCTGGCTCTCCCTAAATAAAGAAATACAAGCATCTAGTAGATTTTACTCTAATCATCACTTGCTTAGCAAAACTTTAGACTTTACGATCAACTTTTTTTTCTTTGTCAATTCAATCGTAAACTAATGAGTTTAGCTACAGACGCCTAATTCATAAAAGAAAATATTCGGCTCAGGTCATGACATGAAGAGCACTTGAGTATACCACAAGGGAATACTATCCATTCACTAATCACACATAACAACTATTAATTGATACGCTTGTCTTAATCTTAAACTTGTACATCGTCACATGCTATTGTAAATTTTACTTGTTAAATTTTGAGTTGGCATCAAGCCCTTAGGGTTTCGGCTATCTCAAGTTCTCTCATAAGTCCCACTGATCATATTTGTCTCTCAAAGGAAAAAGAGAAGCTCCATAACCAACTCTACTGTCCACCATAACCATGTGACTGATCTAGCTAGCACAATCAAATTCCTCACGCATCATCCGTTAGTTTATCAGTATGAATACTCTTAAAGGCTCAACATTTGAGAGTTTCGTGCATTCAATTATGAAGAGGGAAAACACAAGTACAAGGATGATTCTACAAAAACTACACACACATGCTTAAGAAATCTTGTATGTAATTTCATACACCTTCTTATTGCGTTTTACATGAGCATATATACTTACAACAGAGGCCAATGGGCCAAACAATGGGCCAGAAGGCCTTTCAAATAATCTATTGACACCCAACCCCTTTCTCTGCGCACACAGCTTCAAAATTTTATTGCAATTTTTATCAGAGGACAATCCATTGAATTTTACAATATCCCAAACCTGGTCAACATCTGGATTAGAAAATACTATTAATTACATGAATACAAAATTCAACAACCCTTTAACCTGATATGATGGGGAAAATAAAAAATAAATAAAATTGGTGAATTAGTCAAGTCAATACAAAGATGGCAACTTGCGATTTGTACGCTGTAGATTGTGCTTCCCGATTTCCATCAATAATTTTGTTTAAATCAAACCAACTGAAACTATTAGTTAAAATAGAAAATTAGAGCAACAGTTCTAGAACTTTGATCCAATTTGATTTTTAGTTTTTGAACTAAAATTTCTCGAGTATTGGTCTCTGAGTTGTTATAATATGAACCAATAGTAATGTTGGCTAACTTCATAACAATTTTCATCCATTTTTAAATATTTTATTTTGGATGGAAGTTCTATCAGATTTAGCCAAAAAGACAATTTATCCATATTATAACAAGTTTAGAGAGCAATACTCACACAATTTCAATTTAGAGACCTAAACTCTAATTGAGCTACAATTCAGAGACTATAGCTCCAATAACCTCTAGTTAAAAAATAGGAGAATTTTCAAGCAACATTTAATGTACATAGGGGCGGATGCATTAAGGGGTAAGAGGGGTCAACTAACCCTACGGACTCCAATGAATCTCCATGAATAACTTGAGTACTACCCTTTTGAAGGTTGGAGTTGGCCTTCATACATACCCTCCAATTACTTGATAAAATGTCTCAAAGAGGAGTTGCCCCTTTTTCCCTATTGTATGTCTCTGCGTACCTTTAATATTCATCTTAAATTTGATTCTTTTACTTTAACTAGCACAATGAAATTTTTTTTGTTCTGCATTAATAGTGGAGAGTTTCGAGGGATTCGTTGTTATAAAGATCAAGAAGTTTCAGTAGGAAGCAGAAAAGGGACCAAAAAACTTAATTTTGTGGATGAAAGATCTGTTTCCAACATTGTGTGTTGGAAGGGGAGGCATTCAAATGTCCAGCTGGTTAAAAGGCTTGACTATTCCAATTTGTTAGGCTTGGGCATTAACAAAAATGGGAGGTGAGATCTTCATATGATACTATATCAATCTTATTGTTATTTCAATTGTGTGTTTATGGAAAAGTCAGTCATAAGAAAAAAAAACACGTGTTACATGCTCTACTTTTATGTTCTTAGACCACTTTCAACCGATCCAACTAAAAAGTTATAAGGTTAAAAATAACCCGTTTTAACACGAAAATCGTCTCTAACTGATAGTTAAAACAAAGAACTTGTGGACCCCACTGGTCAAAAATCTCAAAACGGGCCAGCGGGCTGGCCAAGATCAGCCAGCCAGCCAACCCTTCTCTTGTTTCTCAACAACCAAACAGACTAAAATCGGCTCCACCACTCCAGAACTACATCAGGTATTTTCTTTTTCTTTCTTTAAAATTAACCTCCTTTATAATTCTTTTTCTTTCCAAGTCTCAAGTTCCTCCATGCTACTGTGCGTTATCCCGTTGGTGATTCAATGGAGAAGCTCTTTTCTTGTTGCAACAAAACAAAGCAAGCTTTTTCCCTTTTTTGTGATTTGAGATCGAGAAGGCAAATAGAGAGAAGGGAGAAATAGAGGGAGAGGGACGGAAGCTAGTTCAGGAAGAAAAAGAGGGAGATGGACGAAGAAAAATAGGAAGGAAAGGTTTTTCCTTTTTCGTCATTTGAAATCGATAAGGCAAAGAGGGAGAGGGATGGAAGCTAGTCCAGTAAGAAAATGAGGGAGGTGGACAAGAAAACTAGGAAGAAGTGGTGTACTAGAATGAATAGAAAAACATAAGTATTAATAAAATATTAATAAATATGACTTTAATATTATAATATTTGAATTTGTTATTATTTTGTTTTTTTAATTTAACACTGCACTAAACGTTTCACTAAATCAAATTAGCTTAATTCTAAAACTAGTCTAGTCCGACGTAATCTGATAAAACAAACGCATCTTAAAAGTGTTTCTAATATTTGGAAGAAAAAGTTAAAAGTGGTCTTGTGCCAAAAGCACTTAAGTGCTTTTAAAAAATAAAAAAAACATTGCATTTTGATGAAAATATTGACGTGCTTCTAAAAAGGCTGCTTTTGAAAAACTAAATACCTCAAAACGATGGTTATACAAACGATATTTGGTTATACCAACTCCAATGCTTGAACCCAAACTCAAATATTTAGGTTACTATAAAAGACATAAATTTAGCTCTATGAACAATGACTATCATCCAATGCTTGTAGTTTTAAAATTGAAGTTGTAGTTTTTAAATTTAAGTTGTTGTAGTTTTTAAATTAAAATAATAAATTATGTTTGGCCCTATAGCCCTTTGGCCTCTCGGTTGGAGATGGTTTTTTGTCACAGGTTATGTTTGGCATATGATCATTTGGCCCCTCAGTTAGAGATGATAAAAAATGTGGCCTAGCACTGTTAATTAAAATATTAATTTTTTGGAGGGCTATAGGGTTAAAACGAGTCATCTGGCCCTCCTTCGGTTGGAGATGGCCTTAACAGTTGAACTTAAGCTATCAAACTTAGTATTGTGTTGTGTGGGGGCGGATTCACCAAAGGGCATGAGCAGTCTAGCCATATATAAAATCTTAATTTTTACCAAATTTCAACCCAAATTCCAAATTTTTAAAATTCTAATTTTTCTTTTATTGATAATGAAGCAAAAATACAACAGTTTCAAGTATGAAATCGAGTAGTGAACAATTGTCTCTTTGTTATGTACAATTGTAGTTTGTAATTATTTATTTCATGAATTATGAATGATGGGTTATGATTTAATTTAGGGTAAATTATATTTTCCCCCTCAGGTTTAGAGTCGATTTCAATTCCTTACAACATCTTTAAAACATTTCACTTTCATACCTCAAGTACTATTTTATTTCAATTTCATACAACCGTTAAAAATTCTGTTAACCGTTAAGTGATGACGTGACAAATATGAGGTCTCCATTTGTGCTGATGTGGCTGACACATTTATGCCACGTGGATAAACACTTAATAAAAATGTTAAAATATTAGAATAATTAATTAAAGAAAAATATAAAATTTATAAATAAATAAAAATTAAAAAACCCAAAAATTCCCTTCATCTTCCTCACCCTTTCCCCCCACCAGAGCCCATCCCCCCAACACCCACCCCCTACTCCCATCCCCCATCACCCGAGCCTCCCCCGCAACCTTCAATCTCCATCTTGCTCTAAATCCGTCAATCTCCATCCCAAAAGCCAAAAACTGGAAAAGTTCCAAATTTTCCCACACTCAACAGAACACAAAGAAATTCAAACATTTCCTACCCGTTTTCTCTCAATTTCCCTCTAACCAAACACACCCTGTTGTCTTTCAAAAGAATATGCAAAGCCTACCCATTCAATTTCAAATCCTCAAAAACCCAGCAAAACTAAAAAACCAAAAAACTAAAATATCCAAAATTTTCCACTCACCCTCTATCATTTTCTCAGCAACCAAACATAATGCGGAATCCCAATTAAAAAAAAAGTCTTTCAAATCAAAATTCACCAGCAGCAACCCTCAAAAGTGCTCTCAAGACCCTCGTATCAGTCTACTTCGAAACCTTCATCTAAACTCTCACGACCTCCCAAATCGTCTTGGTCCACTAACTCCTCCCCTGGCTCACTGAGTCACCGCCACCGAGTCTCCTGCCAAACGACGACTTCAAACCCAGTGCCTTTTTGACCCGGCTCGCCATCAACGACAGGAGCGAAGTCAGAGCACTCCGGTCGGTCTTCTCAGACTGTGGGATGTAGGTGAGAGGTTTGGGCTTGGAGATCCATCAGGCTCCGACTAAGATCTCGTAGACAGTTTCCCAAAGCTTCGAGTCCGAGAGAGAAAAGGGCTTGAAATTAAGGATTTGAAGAAAGCAATTTACCTTTAGTTGGGTGAGCTTAGGGTTTTTGTATAGAAGCACCGCAACTTCAATCGAAGTCCTGAGACGGTTTGGATTCCGGGTGTGAGATGTGGATTGTGTTTCTGGAGAGAGATAAGGAAAAGGAGGTGAAGAGAATGTGGGAGATGGAGGTGGATCGGGGGATTGGGTT